TTCAGTTAAATCAGTTTTTTTAATAAATTTTGTACTTAAAATTCACAAAATCAAAATTTTTGGAATGATTTTTTGTGTTTAATTAAATTTTCGGTGTAAAAGTAAAGTAATTTAGGTTGTTTTGGGCCAAAAATTCCATTAGTTTACAAAATTTTGTCAACACAAGCCGAAAAATCAGCAAATAACTTCAAAATTGACTTTATTTTTTATTATTTCGAACGGTTTGACTAGTTTTTTAACCAGAAAATTGCTTATTATCAAGTTTAAAAATCTCTGCATTAGATATAAAATGACGTTATTTTGCTTATTCCACTCATTTAGTTTGTGACCTCGAAAATTTCTTAATTTTTTCTTATTTGTCAAAACAAGCCAAAAAATTTCCAAATTAAGTAAAAAATATAATGATATTTTGGGTCTACAAAATTTGTCACTAGTAACACATAAAAACACATTTTTGTGACCTTTACTTCAGGAGGTTTAGTGATTTTGTAGTGATTTTTATAAGTTCTATAATTTACTTTTTACTTCATTAATTTAAATAATTTTTTTAATGAGTCCGAAAAAGTACTTATGGACTATTATTTAGTTTACAAAAAAAAAAAACTAATTTTTATGATCTATTTCAGGAGGTATAGATCATGTTTAGTTATTTTAGTAGTGATTTTTTATACGTTATTCGAATAAATTCTGTTATTACTTTTTTTCATTTTGAATTTTTATTTAATAATAAATCTCACTGACTTTCATTCAATTCAATTAATAATTAACGACATATGAGTCCGGAAAAGTCCTTTTTTACGGACTATTTCAGGAATATATTATAATTAAAAATTTACATGTTGTCACATTTAGGTAAGAAAAAATCTCTTATGTGCAATGTTATCTTAAAAAGAATAATTACGAGAAAAAAATCGGTTGGTGTTTATTCCGTCACAATTTATTTTTGTGTTTTCTGTGAATATAGTCGATTTTCGAAAAAACGTCAGCGAGTTTTGGTATTAATCACATACTTAAAAATTAATTTTGTGTTTGGCACACTGTGTTTTTGTGACACTTTTAATTTATTTAGCGTGAATGCCGAAACGAAATAATTGACTCAAAAAAATACAACCTTCTCATTCTCATTTTATCAGAAAATGAGTAACAATTTCGTAATCCTGCGTGAGAGAGTTTAAAATACTTCATTTAGGAGCAACTACCAAAATTACATTTGGTTGCCTTCCCAACAGGAGCTTTGCTATTTTTAACTCAAACAATAGACATTCCAGCCCTTGAACATTTTATTTTTATAAATTTATTTAAAATTTAAGTGATGTTATCTAATTTTGTCTGACAAGGAAGTGTTTTTTTTTTCTAAAATTTTTGAATTTTATTTCAGACCAAAGTTTCTGCAATACAAATATTTGTACGACTACAGACACAACTACTACGACGATGTGATTGATTTTTTGGACAAAAGACAGAAAGGACAACGTAGAGATATTCCACATCCGCAAACATGGGCAGAAAGGGCACTTCGAACATACAACAGTAAAATTAACAAGATTGAAAGTTTTAGAAGATTAGTGAATGATACGAAACTTGTCACTGAAACGAAGATTAGTGGAGCTTTCCAACTTCATCATTCAAAGAGTTATATCACTAGAAGATATTCGTCGATTCTTATTTAAAAGACAATAAAATTTATTTATTTTAAAAATTTGCAATAGTGAACAAGATTAAATAAAGACTACTTTTATTTAACACGTGTTTTTATTTTGTGACTGAAATTAAGTTGGCAATATTGAAAAGGCCACAACTCTTGTCAAGTTTACACTTTTGCATCATTTTATTGTCATTAAATTTACGAGAACAAGACATAAATAAAAGGTTTTACTATCTAATTATACCGTTGATTTTTTTTAATTTTGAAAATTAATTTGACAATGTTTATTACCATGGAGCCAAATTTAATTGCACAGATTTATGATGTGATGACAAGATGTTTCCAACCAAATTGGCACGCTTTAATCGTCATTGGTTTAAAAAAAAAGTTGTCTACAGGTAGGTATTGGTATTTTTAGTTGGCGTTGATTGGATTAACACCAAAACACTTATCTGGCCGTTATTTAATAATATTGAGTGTGAATCAAAATTTTAATTTTTGTAGTAGATAAAAAAGCTATAAATCTCTGATTTAAAACTTCCTTGCAACTTAAAAATTCGCGTTATTTTTTATAGATAAAAATCAAAATAAAATTGTTTTAGTTATGCAACCCACAATTTTAGCGCATTAAAAAATGATTAATTATTATTTGAGAGTAAATTTTTTTAAACTAGTTGTTTGACGATATTAGGTTGGCAACGTAGATGTTGAATTTTTCAAAGCCATCTGAGGAAACAAATTTAATTTTATCATTTTTTGAAGTCATATGAAAACTGTAATCTGCGTTTTTTTTGGAACCCAGTGAGAAAAAAATTAACGAATTTTTTCGTTATTTAACATTAATTTTTCGTAGCTAATTAATTTCAATTCATTATTTTCGGTTATTTTTCAAAGCAAATTCGAATTGAATTAAAACAGTTTTTTATTGCCAATCGGTGTGGTTTTTGCAAAATCTTGAATTTATTTGATTGGTTGGACAAATTTGATAATTTATTGGTGATTTACAAGAGCCAATAATAATCATTTCGCATTCACGTAATTACCACTAAGTGAGAACAAACCGGTTTTTATTTCTTATTGGCCAAAATCCGACAAAAACCTAGCAACGAATAATTATTGATTTTTGAATCGAATTTTTATAACAAATCAGCGTTTAGTGTGAGTTATCTTACTTTAATTGGATCTAATTTTGCACAATGGGTGGAGCCAACCCCAAAGCCAATATGAATCATGCACTTTCGATTATTAGACCAATAAAAAGTAAAAAATTATTTAATGCGTTAAAGTTGAGTGTCATTGTTCGATTCTTTGCCAATCAATTACGTCTTTTAAAATCAACCAATCAGAACACGTCTTAGATTTTTCGACAAGAAAAATAACAATAATTAAAATTTTTGTTTTAAAAATCGGCTTCTTTGCTTTTATTGTCAATATAAAAAATAATTATTTGAAGAATAAACGTTAATTAATTTTTTTACTGTCAAATGTTCAAACTGTCAAAATTTGACATTTTTTGAAGATTTACATAACACTGTGTATTTAGTACATTTGTTATGTACTAAAATTTGTATTTTGCCCATTTTTTTATTCAAAAACACCAATTCGAGTGGTTTTTAGCGGTTTTAGCCTTTATTTGCCAAATCTCAGAAAAAAACATTTCAAAAACCAACAATTCGACAAATTGATTTTTTCCATACAAATAGTGCAAAACTTAGCACAAAAATTCAAAATGGTTCAAAAAAGAATTCAAATTTTCAAACAAAAAATAATTTTTTTGTTTTTTTGTGCCAATGGTTTTTAGAATGAATTACTGTCAAGATTAAAAATTTGAACAAAATCGGTTAATAATTAATGAAGTTAGAGAAATTTTGTAGTTATAGTGCTAAGCGAGCCCCAAAATTTAATAAAAATTCAAAATGGTTCAAAAAAGAATTCAAATTTTCAAACAAAAATTTTTTTGTTTTTTTTGCCAGCGGTGGCTCACTTAGAATGAACTACAGAAACAATAAAAATTTGAAGTTTATATAATTTTTTTAGTTGATATGATTCCTAAGGAAGCAAATTACGACTTTTAAAATCAACCAATCAGAACACGTCTTAGATTTTTGGAAAAAAATAAATAAATAATTAAAATTTTTGTTTGAAAAATCGACTTCTTTGATTATACTTATACTTACCGAGAATTACATTTAGTTAAAAGCAAAGAAACAATAAAAATAAATAAAAGGAAAAATTCTTTAACTTTTGAATAAAATTTTTATCAACTATTATAAAAAACTTTAATTAATTTCTTTATTTCGTTAAAACTGTTGTTGTGCCAAATATGATTTAAAATAAGACTTAAAGTTGGGGTAATATTACTAATATTTTTTTAAACCCCTCAAACTCGTTGAATCGGATTCTAAAAATGACTAAACTGTTTATATTACCCATTTATTGTCATCGTCTAGGTTGTTTAAGTAAATATTAAAATTTATTAGTAATAGAAAATAAAATGTTCATTATTAGCAATGTTTTATTCTTTCTTAACATCAATAGTAAAACAATTACACAAAGAATGGCTATTTTAATGTGTTTCCCTAAAACATGGAGTTTACCTGAAGCAAAACAATATAAGAAAATGCGATCGCAAATCAATTCTTTTCTACAGCCCTATCGCGCCCTTATTCCTCCACGGCCCTTTGTTCCCTTCGCGATTTAAAGCTAATTGCTTGAAGGGCCGATTGTGCAGCTTCAGTTTGTTCAGTACTTTCAGCAACCAACGCCTTAAATCTCGCCGCTCTGCGTTCCCTTGCTGCTTGTTTTTCAGTCAAAGCGGCCATTTCGTCCTCCAAATCAAGGATTCTATCCCTCGATTGTCTTGCCCTTACTGCCGCAGCACTCTCCCTTTCATCAGAACGTTGCTGAAGAGGACTCCATTTCACCATATCCCCGTTTTGAAGACTCTCATTCTCGAAAGAAACTTTCAAAGAACGTCGCTTGATGCTAATGTCTTCGTCCAAAGCCCTGCGAGAGTTTTCGTTAAGACCCACACTTCGGAGGGCCTTTTCCGACCTTTGCAACAAACGTTGGGAGTTAATGTTGTCAACGGTACTGTCAAAATCGGTATCGTCGACAATATGCACTTTCTTGTTGGCTCTGATGCGTTTCAAAGTTGAAGCAGTCTACAAGATTAATTAGTTTTTATTACAGGGAAGTGACTGTCGTTATTACAGTCAAATCTGGAGTAAACAAAACAACAAAATTAACACTAAAACACAAGCAGGTGAGTTATACAACACGAAAATCCATTCTTGGCTATAAGAATGTAGATTACACACATTTTGCACAAATCTGTTTCTCTTGTGAAGAAGGCTTGGGGCTTGCAGTGGCGGCTTGTCAGTAATAAAATAATTTACTAGAAATTTTGGATCATAAATTACAATTTTTATTTGGTCAAATGTTGATTTTTTGCGATAAATCATAGTGAACCTGTTTAAAAAAAAAACA